TTTTATACAAATACTTGAACAATTATTAAAAATTGTAAACAAAGTGGACGCTTATTCTCAGATGTTAAAAATGAAAAAGAACACATAAAATATTTACAATAGAAAGTTATTTAGCGGATTTAATTGTACTGCCTGTTTCATTATTTACTTACCTTTAAAAGCAAAATATAAATAGTACAGTACATAAATCTTCAAATAAATATAAATAGTAAAGATTGCAAAGTTAGCTTTCTACCTTTTATCTATGTCTCTCCTTGTTATCTTTGTATAGTATTCCACACTATTCATCACATCAATATTTGGAAATTGCATACATTTGCAAAATATATGACGACGATAATATAAAAGACTACGTTATTTGCGGATATTATCGCCAATCAACTTACATAAATTGAACAATTTGCTTTAAATTGATTTCTTCTCGAGCCAAGAAGAAGATTACCCCAGATGGAGCGGCAAATTGTCAGCAGGTAAGGAAAAAGTCGAATATAAAAGTTGAAAACGATGAAAGGAGTGAAGAGATCAGAAGCGATTATGCTAATTTTGTATAAATCAATATGATTCGAAACAATTTTTATGTCAACAGACAGATGAATCCAAACAAACCGGGCAATCGACTTTAAATGTCTCAAAATTTCGTAAAAAACGCTTGGTGCGCATTAAACCCAAAATTTAATTTTAAATAAATATATAACCCGTCGTCTAATTGGAGCTTATAGCAACAAACACTTTTCCAACCGCTTTGATTTGTCATTGGGAAAACGGCATGAAATGAGTCCTAACTGCCACGAATAAATTATTTTGATAAATATTTCTTATTTATTTGATTATGATATGATTTCTTACAGATTAATTTTATTAAGAGTGTATTTGCATTATAATCATAGGTAGAGAAATAGTAAAGAGAAAAAATAATTATTGGAATTATTTATAATAAATTTATTATTATTGTTATTAGTTAGAAATTTTAGAAGAACGAGATTGTTCATACTTTATTTATTTTTAGAAAGAAGATTAATTCCTACATTATTTTTGATTTTAGGAAGGGGTTATCAGAAGGGGGTTTATTTATTATTTTATACTTTATTAGTTTCTTTACCTATATTAATTGGTATTTTTTATTTATATGTTTTAACAGGTTCTTTAAATTTTTACTTGTTGAATAATTATGTAATTGATTATGAAATATTATATTTTTCTATAATTTTAACTTTTTTTAGTAAAAATGCCAATATTTTTAGTTGATTTATGATTACCAAAGAAGCTCCTGTTACTGGTTCAATAATTTTAGCTGGAATTATATTAAATTTAGGAGTTTATGGTTTATTACGAGTAATAAGTTTTATTCAGATTATAGGTTTAAAATATAATTATATTTGAATTTCAATTAGTTGGAGTGGTATTAGTAAGATTAATTTGATTACGACAAGTAGATTTAAAAGCTTTAATTGCTTACTCTTCTGTTGCTCATATAGGAATTGTATTGTCAGGATTAATAACAATTAGTTATATATATATAGGGATTTGTGGATCTTATACTTTAATAATTGCTCACGGTCATTGATTTCCATTAAATTTACTTATTATAAAGGGAGATATATATATATATTGTGATTATAATTAAATAGTTTATTAAAACATTGATTTGTGGTGTCAAAAATAATGAATATCTTTTTAATTCATTAAAAATTTATCTATTTGTACTATTAGGTTTGTTATTTTAATATTTATTAGAATTAATTTATTTTGATTAGGAATAAATTTTATTGTAAATGATTACAGATTGTTTATTGAATGGGAAGTAATTTCTTTAAATTCGATGAGAATTGTTATAACTTTCTTATTCGACTAAATTACTCAGAATTGTAAACAAATGTGGACGCTTAGTTTACTCTCAGATGCTCGAGAAATTTATAAATGCAATAGTCCATATAACGTCCTTTCAGGGATACAAATGAAAAGACATAATTTGGAGAATTTGCAAAAAGGCATAAGTTATTCCCGTTGGGATTATAGACAGGCAATAATATGGCGCCTTAATAATTAATTTGAGGAATATTTAAGAGGTCAATTTATCAATGCCAATGTCACACCTTTATATTGGGGCAGCATTACCAGAAGCTTCAAAAACTGTCCGATGGACTTCGCCAGCAAATTTCTTCAAATCGAGCAACAAAACTTGAAAGTATCGAAAATGTAATTTTGAGCGTTCCTTGATTAGTAGTCTGCATACAGTGAATAGCTCAATATTATTAAATGGAAAACTGTTGTTTTACGTAGAGAAAGATCGAAATTATCGAATTTGACCGTTGGGCATATTAACCAATAAATGTCGCTGATCAAGATAAATGCAAGCGCCTGATATATATCAAAAGACGTTTTTATTTATACTTAAAATTCTTATGATATTTCCCACAAGTTACAAAAGTGGTTTACAAAATTATCCTTTCTGAATAATTTTTAAAACTGAAACATCGCATTTTGGGGATAGGAACAACTTATTCAATTTTACAAGTATGGGATGAAATCATAACTCGCGCTTCAAAAAACGTTGATTTTCTTAAGAATATGACTGCCGATAAGCAATTAGCCGCGTGTAAGGCCTATCTTATTCAATTGGGTCGGATTTATTTAGATATGTTAAATGTTTAAAAAATAACATCGGAAAATATCAACATAATGTAAAATAGCAAACAAACGCATCCACATTAATAAAATCTGTCATCGCGATTTAAAATATAACTAAACAAATAAAATTATAATTATAAAATGTAAATAAATAAAATTATTGCATTATTGCATTTTTTGCGATACCATTGTTTTTACATTTTTCGAACTGGATATATAAGTAAATAATGGAGATAATGAATAAACAAATTGTCCGTAACAAGAATATACAGACACAGAGAGAGAGAGACCGCCTACACATTATATTTATATATTTACATAAATTTAAGTAACATTTTCTGTTTGCAATATGCTTTTGTATCTCAATAGCAAAACCTTATTAAACATTATTAAGCATTCTGCAACATTCTTAAACACGTCAAATGTAAGCAGCGTTAAACATCGAAACCTTATTAAACGTTATTAAACGTTATTATTTTGACTGGACGATTTTTTCAATTCCCAGTCCCATACTCGAGTATGCCTCAGCTGTGTGGTCTCCTTCATATAGGTGCTACGTAGATTCAATCGAATCTGTTCAAAAGCAATTCTTGCTGTTTGCCCTTAGAAATTTGGGTTGGGATCCGGTTGCCTCTCTTCCTCCGTATGAAAATTGGTTGCTTCTGCTGTCCCTACCGTCTCTTGAGAAACGTAGATTTGTTCTTGGCGTTTCCTTTCTAATTAAAGTAATAAATGGTGCTATTGACTCGATTCCATTACTTGGTGAAATAAGCTTTAATGTCCCTAACCGCTTCTCTAGGCACTTTATCTTGGTTAAGCTTAATCAGTGTAAATTTAATTATGAGCTATTTAATCCGCTCAGAGTAGTTTCCAAGAACCTAAATGACATCTATCACTTATACTCGTTATCGGACTCTTTAAAGTCCATTAAAGCAACATTGCTTAATGCGCGCGATTTACCTATGTCTTACTTAAACTAGCTTTTAACCTTAAAAAGTCGTTACGATTCGAAAATGAATTATTGTTAATTATTATCGGTTGCCAGGCTTATGCATGTTTGCGAGGTTCATTTGCAATTTGGTCCCGTACAGGTTGTAAGTGTGGCTCTATGCTGATAGTGTACATGCTTTTTTTTTCTTCTTATTTGTTTTATTTTATACTTATACTAAATTTTATTACTAATTAATATAAGTTTTGCATTAAGAGCCAATTGAACTCAACTGTTATTTGTTTAGTTGAGTTTCTAGTATAAGTGGAATAAATATATAAATAAAAATATATAGGGTTATGGAGTTTTATGATGAAAACAGATCTAAGATAATGATTTTATATACAAACGCTCTTTTTATTTGAAATATTTTTAATTTTTCTACATTTTTCAAACGATTAATATTTTTGAGTTTCTTTTCTTTCATTTTTTTCGCAATTATTCAATTCCTACAACTGCTTTGTACATTAAATTAATTTTATAACGGAGAAAGAGACATTAAGCATATAAGCACGGTTTTCCACCTTGAGGGAGGCGCCATAAATAAATGGTTCAATTTCCTGTTGAAAGGCAAAGCACAGAGTCGCTTTTAATAAATAAATGGTTAAATGCCCAACTTAATCGACGAAAGGGATTCAATTCTGTTACATGCAAAGCCGTCGGCAAAACAACAAGCAAGGGCACAAACCGTCCAGAGATGGGACAGGCGGAATGGAACACTTTGGAAATTAATTCCGATAAAACAGACAACATTGCTTTGAAGGCAGATCTGAAACATTTAGATATTGATTATCGGGGAACGTAATTGTAATTGATTTTACAAGCTTTTATAGAAAACTGTGGTTTGTTTTTTCAATACATTCGCAACTGAGAAAACGAAATGCACGCATGCCTGGGGCTGAAGACAATATTGCCAGAACTGAGCAGTTTTTAAATAGCAACAATGAAATGTGATTAATTTCTTTTAATATTCGCTTTGTTGCTGCTTGGTAATACTACTCCCAGTTTAGCAAAGCAGCCGTCGCTTACAAAGAAAATTTTTATCAAAAATTGTAGAGACAAAATAATACAACTTAAGCAAAATATGACTGATTTCCAATGGCCCTGGGAGTATGAATTCCCGCCATTTTTTACGTGAGCACTCCAAACAAGAAAAAATGCAATCTTCCTAAGTCATCTCTATTTTTTTTTCTAGATTACAAACACATGAAGAAACTCAGAAACGGCAATTAGATGTTTGGTGCAATTTGTTTCTCAAATACCTGAAACATTTAAATAAATTCAGGATAAACGTAAATGAATCAACATTTCCGTTATATTGTAATGAATCGGTAAATAGACGTTTGTCAGCTGATATGATATTAAAAATTTTGACGAAGCTACAGGCTTCTGGACATGCCCAACAGTTAGATAAAAAAGGTAATGAATGGCTGGTTTATTGGCACACATTGGAGGAGTACGGGAATACGATTTATGAATGGATCCAAGAGACTGGACAAACGAACACTGTATGCACTTTGTATGAAATTTCATCTGGAGAATTCACCAATGATAAAGAGTTCCATGAAATTGACGAAGATGTTTTAATAAAAGTTTTACGTTTGCTCGAGGAGAGGGGGAAATGTGAATTAATTGAATTGGATGGCAGTTATGGCGTTAAGTTTTTGTAATTTTTTCACGAAATTTTTATTTATAAAATATAGAATTAATTGAAAAATTTTTAATTTTACGGAATTGACGAGAAAATAAATTTCATTTTGCATTGGTCGTAAAAAAGTTTTGCCGCAATAAATATATACTTGGTGTTATCAATAATTATCCAATGTTTTCCAGATACTTGTTAAATGAAGGAGAAGGATATTGCAAAGTAAAACCATGAAATGCAATTTTGTTTAAATGAAAGTGAAACCAAAACAATTATTTTCACCTAAAGTTATTTTTATAAGATTAAATTATCAACAAAATATTTTCGATGAATATCTACGTCAGCTTGTTGAGAAAACAGATCTGGCAATGCTGTTTTATTATTAATATCTGACATATTTTTCCTACGTTATCAGTAATATGAATAATAATTTGGTAAACTTTGCAAAACATTGGCATTAATAGTCATTAAAATATTTTATTCATTAGGGTATTAAATTTGCCGACATAATAAATGGAATTGATGAAGGCCATTTATCTACTATACGACATGCAGCAGAAATGTCGCATTTCATTTCAGAAAGGACTACTGAAAGAGACAAAAGCACAAATAATGATAGTGATAGTGAGAGCAGCGCTAATGTAAAGAACGACGTTAATAAAGTCGATAAAAATGAGTTAAATAAAAGGAAAATGCGAACTCCAACAAATGACACAGAAGTAACAAGTATTTCTAACAGCTTGCAGGTATTAGAGCCTAATACAATGTCAATACAAAGATCACTAACTTTGCTGTTAAATGTTGTTAGAATTTAGATTTCAAAACAATTAAATCCAGCATTATGTTGCGAGAAGCTGAAGCGCAGCGTAAACGCACCGTACGACGGGAAATTTTGGAAATGCAAGAACGTCACACATCTTTAATACGTCAACAACTAGAGCCTCTACAACAACAAAATCAAGAAGAACACCGTAAGTGGTTAGAGCGAAAAAGACGCGGTGATTCGCAAATTTTGGAAATGGCCGAACAACAATCTTCAAAGGAACAGCAAGAGCATGACCGTCAGTTAGAAACATTACGAAAACAAACTCAGCGTCAACTGCAGTTAATTTCCTTTCAGGGTATTTCACAATACCAATTAAGTTTTCGTTCCAAATATGAGACTATTGCTCAACTACTTATGTCTTTAGACAAGCAAGCCCTATTATCGTGTGCCGAATATAATCGCAAGCTGAGAGAGCTGACACAAATGTTTGAACAACTAATAGGTAGAATTAAATCTGGAGATTGTGGTCCTACTGAATTAAAAACTGCTGAAAATCTTTGCAAGTCGCTGGAGGCCTTGGAAGGCAGCATAATAGAAGCTTGCCGACAAGAGCAAAATAAACAGACTGAACAAAAACAAAGGGAACAAGAGCAGCAACAATTACAGAAAGATGAAGAAAACAAAGCATTTGCTATTTCACAAAGTGCTAAGAGAGAAGAGTTAGTGAAACTAGAACAGCAACCGCAAGCTCAACAACAACAAACACCGGAACCATCGCAAGAACCAAAGCCGTCCAGTACTAATACCGCGGAATCTCCAGTGACATCGACGGATCCGCTAAATAGCTCCCCAAAAAAACTCGTTCGTTCAGGGCGTCTAGAGTTTTACGCAAAAATCAATAATTTTTATTTAGAAAAAGTGGAGAAGGTAAAAGTTTTGCAATCCGACGAGTCCATGAAAAAGTACCGTAGTGACTGTCAAAAATCGATCAATATTCCCGTGAATTCCATATCTGCTGTGAGTCAACAACACATTAGAGATAAATTCGACAAATTATTTTCATTTATTATGGCTCAAAGTAATTCAAATTTGGGTTACGATTACTGCCTATTGTTAATGGCTAAGAAGTTTGTTGGTCAAGGAGAAACCACGGTATCCAGTAACCCGAACGCAGCTTTTCCGATCGCTTCGGTGATAGTTTCTTTATGGAAACAGATTCCAGAATTTGGACAATTATTTTTAGCGTACATCTACAAGGAATCGCCTTTTCTGGTGCCTTGTTTTGTACCACAAAAGAAGGGGCAGTCTTGGGAAGAATATGCTAAGACTTTGGGTTATCGTTTCACAGAAGGCCAAATGGAACAGCAAGATATGTTTTTGAAAAGACAAGCTGGAATCGCTAGATTATATGCTGCTGTCATGATTACCAGCGGACGTAAGCAAGATGGTCCATCTCATCCTTACAGCTTGGACAACGCTTGGCGTTGGCTGACAAACTTTGTTGATTTGGACCCCTTCCCTGATATATGTGCTACTTTAATGATGGAAATTTTACAAATTGTAGGAAACGATTTGTGGCTTACTTATGGTAAACAATTTGTAAAACTTTTAGTTTACATACAGTATAATTACTTTCCCAAATTAACGGCCATGGAGAAAGACGGCGGCCCTAAGGCGCGTCTGGAATTGTTATTGAGAAAATTTTTAACTGAGGGAAAGGTGTCGCGACCGTCAGGTATTTTGCCCGCCGACTTCTGGTAATGTAATTTGAGCAGAAAAGAAATAAACTTCGGTTTTGCACGGATAGTACTTGAATTGTTTATATAGATTTTATCATAGCGGTTTTCTTTTAAGAGTTTTAAGCATTTTAAAAGGAAAAACTTTTTCACTCTTCATCGTCGTCGTCTAAATCAAGATCATCTAGTTCATCAGCTAATCCCAAAAATAAATCCTTATTAATTGGTTCGGCATCGCAAGCGGGTGTGTCTGAATTACTTGAAGAGCAGATTGATTCATCATTTTCATTTTCTGCTGCCTCGGCAACTGCCACAGCGTCTGTTTGCTTGTGTAATCTGGTTTCCGATGCTACTGTGCCTGTACCATCGGCTTCTTCTGCCGCAAGCGACAAAGCATTGAGATCTAATTCTTTGAATTCTATTCCGCCCTCTTCGTCATCTTCCTCGCGGGCATAGTTATCGAAAGCAGCATCACCGTCTTCCATAGGACCATCGTCTACCAAATCCGGATTGAAACTGAACATTTCTCTGCCGGAAATGCCAAATTGCTTGCCTTTACTAAAATCACTCTTCTTGCGTTCCTCTTCAGCGGCTAGCTTGTCTTTCTTTTCTTGTATTTTACGTTTCTTCCAAGCTAAAAAGGTTTCCAGCGTAACCCTTGTAGTATTGGACCCCAAAGAAGCACGTTCCTTTTCGATCAGATCGACTAATGATATTTCAGAAGGTTTATCGTCTTTTTTCTTATCCTTTTTCAAAACATATCCTTGAGGTAACGCGTGCCGATAAATGCATTTCTCACCATTTGGACACTCCCAAAACCAACCGTATTTAGATTTTTCAACTGCTTCAATGAAATATTTACAAATCTATGCGAAGAAAAAATTGTGAATTTTTGCTATAAAATATTTCTTTATGACATCCATACAATATCTGTTGTAGGTCTTCTTTTTTCTCCACCATGTTTCTGGTCTACTACTTCTTTTAACTTAGCGTCGTCCCAGTTTTGCATATCGTCTTCAGTTTCATCGCGCATATCCACATAAATGGAACGTTTCTCAGCCTAAAATCAATATTATTACTACCCCATCACATCGACAAAAGAGTTAGGAAATAAATAATCACCTTATTCTCGACAGACAAATCGTGGGAAAATTTACATTTGTCACCTTTAGTACAAGTGCCCTGTTTGAAAAAAGTACATACTACAGACTTGGGGTCAGTGCCTTTTTCCACTTTCTGTGCTTGTACCGGTTTAAATATTACAGCTAATTCTCGCTGCTCTTGTAACTTTTTCTCCTTTTCCTCCTTGCGTTTATTTACATCAGTTTTAGGATGATGTCCGCCACTGTTGACTTGCTTTTGCACTTGCTGTATATATTTTTGTTGTTTAGAACCTTTTTTATTCTTTAAACCGAACGTTTTATCCTGCAAATAGTCATACGTATATCCGTCGTCGACAATAGGAACAATAGGATAATATTTATTAGGGATTGTTTTGAGGTTAAGTTTTTTTTTCATTAAAACTTTTTACCTCGATAACTTTCTCTTTTTTTTTAAGTTCAGTTTTTTTACTGGCAACTGGCGCTTTCTTAGGCGGCATTTCGTTAATTTATTAATAATACAAATTTTGTCTAATTAAAGGAAAATTTCTGTACAAAAAATTAATTTATATATTCTCGTGTACAATTGACGTATCTTGTCACAAATCATAAATATGAGAAAAATAGTGTTGCCAATTTAACATTTGGACACATACATTCAATTGCTGATAATAGTGAAAAATATAAGGCCGCAACACAATCGAATATATTTTGATCATAATTTATGCAAGTTAGCGGTTTGTAGAATATATTTTGATCACAATTCCCTCTTCTGAAAAACATGGGTATGTTTCATATCGATTCATACAAATTCTTCGAATTCTTACAGTCCAGTTGTTTTTCCTGCCAGCTTGCGGATTTTTTTTTAGTAACAAATTGCAAAAACTAAATATCGAACTGAAATGCTACTATGCAATCGTCAAAAGAATGAAGTAACTGAAAATAAATATTGGTAACAAGTCATTCTAATTGAGAAGTTCGCATTTTGCTCCGCTTCAAACCTTTGGATGAGACGCGCGAAGGCGTAGAAAGGCAACGAGAAACTGACTCGTTACTTTCAGAGGCACTATCTGAACAAGACGAAAATGATGTTTTAATGGAATTAGATGCTTTAGTTCCTGAGAAGGAAGGGGAGAAGTTTAAATTACCTGAAGTTCCTCAAGACGAGCTGTCTCTGCCCTCAGCAGATGAAACGTCGAAAGAGAGCAAAGCTGCCATTATAGAGAAACCAAAAAAGATTCTAATAGAGGCCTAGTATATAAAGTCCGCAATGTTGATTAAGATTTGTAACATACATATTTATAGTTTCACTTAATTCTTTACATTGAGAGTTACATTATCATAATAAGCTAAAATTTTACATATATGATTACAATTAAAAAATATTCTTAATAATCTCATTTTAATAATTTGAAGGAGAATCGGAATTGATTTGTACTCTCTGTCAAGACTTCGTTTCACTCGATTTTCGCATTGCTTTTAGCACAGCTTGCACATAAAGACCATCTTCAAAATTAGCGGCCGCTTGCACTGGTTTTTTTATCCAATTGGATTCCTTACTGGCAAATGATTCCTTTAGAGCATACACCATTTTACATAAGCCCTTTATATATAAACGGGGCAGTAATGTTTCGGAAGTGGCAAAATGCAAATCTTGGACATCAACATAAACGGCTTCTTCCATTTGTGTTGTCTCTCCTTTACTCTTGAATAAGAAAAAGAAAAGATCACCTCCACTACCAAACTACCAAATGCCCTAAACTTCCACACATTAAGACCTCTTGAGAGTGTATTTTAGCCGGCACTGTGTGGCTTTGTGTGGAAGTGGTTATTAAGGTACCATTTATTAGTTCCATTTGAAAATTGCAAAAGTTAGGAGCGGATATCTGCCTTATGCCGTTTATTCCCGGCGTTGATTTAGTATAAGATTTCACTACACTATGCATTCGAACGACGTGTTGTTTGCACTTCTTCTACGGTTTAAGTTCAAAATCTTTTTCCCGTAAAATTGGCACCAATACTTTCGTAATGGCTCCAGTACCAAACACGCCCGGTAACATTTCCTCATTAAATATTTCACATATTTCTTACTTCTCAGTTTAGAATATATTTTGCATAACAACTTCCTTTTCCACGAAAACAATAAATAAACTACGGCATTGCCGGCTTTAAATTTCAAGTGGATGGAAAATAATCTAATATGGCAACTAAGAGTAGTAAAGAGGCAACGGTTCGGTTTTAATTTGGCCAAAAATATTTAATAACATTTGTCGAGTAATTGCGATTCATGTCGAGATTTGTTTTTGTCGGCTGTTTTTTTAAATCTCGTATTTAAATTCATTTCCTTTTTCTGCATTGCACGTACAGCTTGATTATTTTCTCGTAGCTTATCAACCTCTTCCAGAAGCAAAACATTTTCCTTAAATATTTTCTCGGACTTTTCGTTTTCCATCTCGATCGTCCGAGCGATATTTATAAATTTCCAAAACTCGTTCGATTTGCCCACGCTGACGTTGAAATTCATCGCGCACGTTTGCGTTCAAGGATATGAAACGTTTAAGTTAATCGCTGGTATGACGTTGTAAGAGATTTTTTACGGCCACTTTCAATTGATTGGGAGAATTGATATGATTAGCTACATGATAAATTTCAGTACATATATTTTGAATACATTCGCATGCGGCACGAGCTCGATGACGTTCTAGTTTCAAGTCCGCCACGGTGCTGATATACTTATCCTTGAGTTCCTTCAGCTCTAACTCTAGCTGGGCATTATTTTGATTTAAGCCAGCCAATTCATGTTCCATTTCTAAAATGTGTTTACGTTTATCGTTTATTTGAAATTCGCGAGGTTCCATCTGAGCTTTAGGTTCAGGTATTTTATGGTTCAAGACTTGCTTGTACTTATCTAAGTCTTGATTCTTATGTAACAACTCCTGTATGCGTTTCTCTTTAGAGAAACATAATCGCGATCGGATATATCTTTCTGTAGACACTCAATATTCCCATTTAGCTTTGGTATATTCTTTTGAGATTTTATTTGTACTTCTTTGAGGACTTCCACCTCCTCCAATAAATTGTCTACTTCCTTCGTTAAAGTGTCATATTTTTTTTGTAATACCCCAGCACGACCCCGCCATAATTGTGTTTCCTTGCGTTCGGTGGTTAAGCACTTTTCATACTCTATTTAGGTTTCAGCCTTGTTACGATCATTTTCTCCCTCCACCTGGCGACAGTAAGCAATGAATTCAACTTTCTTGTCTTTCATTTCTTTCATCAAATCTCTTATCAGCCCTTTTCTTTCATGCAACTGTTTCTTGTAATCCAGCTCTAGACCTTCGACGGTATCCTGTAGCTTACCCGCCGACTTTTTCAGTTTGGCTTCATAATTTTCTCGCAACTCGAGCTTACTTTCGCGCAATTTGAAGAATTTTTGATATTCAATAAGCATACGCTCTGAATATTGCGTAGCTAAGTGGTTCAACCGCTTTTTATGTTCTTTCTTAAGGTCTCGTATTTGAAATGCAATAAGATTCATCTCTTCGATATGACGTTCCTCGATCTCGTTATTCATACGTTTTAACTCTTCTAAAGCGTAGCAATAGGACTTAAGAACTTCAGCCAATTGTTGCCCATCAAAAATTTCATTTTGACTTAACTGATATTGAAATTCCTCAGCCTGTTACCACAGCCGTAATTCCAGGTTAACAATTTGATCGTTTTTCTCACTAAGTATGTATGTATTAAAACTTCCTGACTTTGCAGTAAATCTTAGTATTTATTGCGGTCAATCATTGACCGCGGAGCAAAGCAATTTTATACGACGATTTTATGAGACGGTTTTCCGCGCCACCCTAGAGGTACCTTTATAGGCGCGTTGCCAATTGTTTTAAATGGCTGGCTCCCTTGGAGGCCTACACCATTATAAAAGTAATGTAACTTATATATAATAGTATCTGTATATAATAATGGTGAAAATGTAAAATATATATACATACATATACGTAATATAAGAAAATGTATATATATATATACATTGATAAGAATAGAATAATATCACAATAATAATACTATACTATTTATAATACAGCGAATTTTCATGTATTTGAGGCGGTGGGCGGCATTTAATCTTTTTATCTAAAATTAAATACAAATAAGGAAATTAGTAAGAAATTTAATTTACAAAATATTGGAATTTGGCTTTGGCAATCGAGGCAATTTATCTGGTCACGTATGTATCGCCCGATACAGTAACCGGTGGCCAGACGCAGGTGACTATTGATTTTGTTTTCTAGCTGACCTGTCGGCAAACTGGTGAACACTTCTCCATCGAGCAAAATTGGTTTGTTGCTGCCGTCTGCCTTTTTGAATTTATGAACGCCGTTGAAGAATTGTTTCGTCCTTTCCTTGTTGGATGCGTCTCTGTCGCAAACGACAGCTCGGACATCTGGTCAGATCTCCTCTGCCAGCTTGATTGCTTTGGTTACATCGCTGGCATCACTTGTATGGTCGGTGCACGGTGTTGCGCTTAGCATTATATTAAAAGGTGTTAATAAGCTTTGCGCGGAGAACACGAGAAACGAGTCTTGCTCCACCATTTTACCTTTTGATGATCTCCCGCAGCCGGTCATCTTATCTTCATCTCGGCTATGGATTAGCTGTTTATTTGTGGAAACCTCGTCGAAACTAATTCGAACTATCTTGTCGTAAGCACTTAACTTGCTTACGACTTCTTTAAGAGTCTCTTTGAAATCGCTTTCAGCTACTTGAACTTCTTCTTCCTGGCATTGACGTCTTCGCATTGCGGCTAGTTCCGCTCGCAGCTCTTCGATTTGGCGGGCACGTGCCGCCTCCTTTGATGTGCTGAGATGTGAAATGCTTCTACTATACTTACTGGGCTTGATGGCCTTGTCCGCATTATGTTCTCTAGTAATCCTTCTTCCGTATTGTCTACAAATCTTTCTATTTTGTATTTTTCTATTCAATTTTTATATTATTATTCGTGAACTCACCACCACAACGAAATCAATCTCGTTCCCGCAGTTGTCCCAGGCCACCAGGCCAGATTCACCATCGCTAGGCTAAATTTGAAAAATGCAACAATATATATAGGAGAAAGAAAGGAAGCAGAAGAACAAGAAAATATAAAAATCAATTTATTAAATTTGAAAAATGGATGAACACATAGAATCTATTCCCCAAAGTTCATACAAATCTGTCTATCAGAAGCGGATACAAAGTGTAAGGAAGCGATTTTGCTTCCTTACGAAAAACTAGTCCGCTTAAAAGTCCTCCCGCCATCCGCAATCAGCAAGTCCGATCTGTCCGCATGTCTTGCGGTGAACAATACATGAGCAACCTCCTCCAACTTCAAATGCAAAATCATGAAAACACCCACTAATTATACCTTGTACAGATAAAATCATAAAACACACACTAAGTATACCTATCCCTTGTACAGACAAAATCATGATATCACACACTAATACACCGATACCTTGTAAAGATTAACTATGCCTATACCTGGTAACGAGAAAAATGTCTAAACACATATTGTACAGGCCCACGTGAGTTAATTCATAGAAACACACACCACATGTGTGTAAAGAGAAAAGTACAAGCACATAGTGAGTATGCCTCCGTAAAACCACAGAAGCACACCACAGCACAGATTAAGAACCCCAGTGTACCAAAAAGCTTAGATCCAAATTTCAAAATGTAATAGCGGAGTCAAGAACCCAAATAAAAGAAAAACTTAGATGCAAGAAATCAATATGGTAAGAACCCAAGTAGAATCTCAAAATGTTTAAGTACTCCAAGGCTAAATAAAAACTCAAAGTATAAATACAAGGAAAATCCCAAAATGTTTAACAAGCAGAATTGAACTTAGGTAGAAAATCCATGCATGCCAAACAACTTCAGCAAGAATGTCTATGTGTAAAAATGCGCAGAATGTGTAACACCGTTAGGGTAAACAAAACAAGCGGAATGGAACTTAGGTAGAAAATCTATGCATACAAAACAAACTTCAGCAAAAATCT